GGGCAGCCCCAGACGGCCCTTCTCAGGGCACAGGTCGAAGCCCACCAGTGGTGGCCATCACGCCTTGGAGGTGCGTTGCCCCAGGGCCCCACACCCAGACGGGGTTTCTCAGCGAGGTGTGGCATTGCCAACACATTGCTATAAGATGCCAGCGTCTGTCCCACTTGGATTTTGCTCTTTGACTTCCCTTGGATCCTGGAAAAACATGGGCTGCAGGCACCGTGCAGGAGAGCGGGCTGGTGCCTAGGAGCAGTGGCAGGGCTGAACTCTCGTGGCACGGGATGGAGGGGGTAGCCCAAGAGACCACCAGCAGCTGAGCCTCTCCCTTGTCCCGGCAGAAGAGAGGCACCGAGGTGAGCACAAGCGCTGTGAAGGGTTTTGTGGATGAGCTGATGTTGAAGGAGAACAAGAAGAAAGGCTGCTTCAGCACCCTGCCGAGGAACCCAGGCTGCCCCACAGAGAGGATCTTCTGGGCCACGCTCAGCCAGTGCCCGAGGGATGCGGTCAGTGGGAGCAGGGACATCGGCATGGGTGGCATCACCGGCATCCCCGGGGGTGCGGTCAGTGCCTGGGGTGGGGATGCATTAGGCTCTGGGGGGATGGACGGATGGATAGATGGATGGGTCTCTGACGTTGTGCAGCTCTTTAACTAACAAACTGAAGTGTAACAGGTTTTCTTCTGCCCAGTATGCGGTGGGGCCGGGCTCATACAACCCAAAGCCCATCAAGAGATCAGAGTACTCCAACCAACCCGCATTCTGGTTGTCTGCCAAGAGATTCGACAGAAAGACCTACCGCCTCTTTACAGGGAATGAGGTGAGTGAACAGACAAGGCAGCAAGAGAGGGATGCCGGGAACAGTCAGGCTCTGAGCCTCTGTGATCATCCCCAATCCATGCCCAGCACCCCTGGGAGAGGGTGGAACTCTTCTGAGCCAAAGTAAGGGTGGGTGCTCCTCACCCTTCAGCCAGCTAAAGGTTTGAGCTCGGCTGTGCTGAGCAGAGGGGCAGGAGCTCGGCAGCGACCGCGTCATCTCTCCTGCAGCCTCAGGCCTCTGACCTTTTCATGGGATGCTTGGACAACCCTTCCCACTAGTTTTGCTCTGCATCAGCTGTGAGCAAGCAGATGCGCTTCATGGATGAGGGCGGCTGCGTTTGAGTCCTTTTAGGTGCCAGGAGCTCCATGTATCCCCCAGAAAGTCATATTCTGCTGCTTGAAAGCAAGTTTTTCCTCTAGCAGCATCAGCAGCACGTTGCAGAGCCAGTGCAGGTAGGAGCCCTTCCCTTAGTACCCGTTCCTGGAGCTGTATTCATCTCAGCAGCTTCCCTACAGAGAACAAGAACAAAGCCTAAAGGGCTCAAAGCAGACAGGGAAAGCTTTAGTCTGAAGCAGTCCACCTCAGCTGGGGATGAGGAGCAGGCTTCCACGTGGCTTCTCTCCTTTATCCAGCTGAGCGGGGAACAGGCAACTTGAAAGGGGTCAAGGATGAAGACATCTTCGTAATTGCTGGGGAACTCGATAGATGACACGTCGGTGGGGAGGTGGTGACACGGCAGCCCTTGACTGCAGCTAGCAGTCGGTGACTGGCGAGCACGCTCGAGCCCGCAAAACTCATCAACTTCTTTACAGACCGCTGTGACCAAAGGAACTGCTCGTGAAGGGGACTGGCTGGGCTAATACCGATTAGTGCGTCTTCTCCTCCCTCCCCTGCAATACAGGCCTGGTTTGGTTAAGATATGCCACATCTTGTATTTTCTTTTGCAACTGAAGGCCTGACCGTGTGAAGGCACTACCCGGTTTTGCCCCCCTTGCATCCCCCGCGCTGCCTCCGGACGGGGAAGCACATGAGATCTTCTCCTTCCAGAACCCTGTAGGTGTTGGTCGCTACGACATCACCAAGCATGAAAAATACCCTCCGAAGATGAGATACCAGTCCCTGTACCTGTGTGATGCGCAGCGGTACCTGAGTAACCTGAAGCGGGATGCCTACCTGCTGTGAGTCTGACATGGGGGCTGTAGGGGCTTTCACACTGGCTTACGGGAAAATCATCCTGAGCAGCTCTGGGGAGAGTGAGTGCACGTTACTGACACCACAGCTGATGGGAGATGGGATGATCGTGTAGTTAAAGCCCTGGATTGGGACTGGGAAACACTTGCCAGCCTCACCACAGGTTCCCTCTGTGGATGGTGAGTTATTGTTGCACTTCTCCCCTCCTGGGAAAGTGCAGAGACCTTCGTGCTTCCCCACTCGTGTGGGAAGGGTTAAAGAACGATCAGGGCACTTCACAGATACTAAGGGGGTGGTTGCATCTTGTGAAATGCGATTTGTGTGCAGTGGAGGGGAAAGCAAATAGCTTCCATGGAGTAGGAGGAGGCAGCCTGGGAAGGAAAGGGGAGGTGGATAGGTGGATGGGTAATCGGGCTGCCTCAACTCATTCCCAGCACCAGCACTGAATTGCTCAACAGCCCCGAACAAAAATCACCTTCTGAGGCTGTGCCTTGGTTTACCCGTCTGAGGAAGGCAGATAACAAGGCTCACTTTCACTGCCAAGGGCTTTGAAATTGCTAGTGTGGAAAGCCTGTGAAGCAGTTAGGAACTGTACTGATGAGAGACCTTGGGATAGCGCTCTGCTCTCACTGTTGCTTGTGGCCAAGATTAGCAAACTGCTGCGGTGGCACTCAGGCTGACAGCTCTGCAAAAGTCTTTCTTCATCTCCAGAGAGTAGTTACAGATCGGTCTTGGCTGAATATGGAATTGGAAACCTTCTGAACAAGCCCCAAAAGGAGCTGGCATAAAACTTCTCCGGTGTTCCCATATGTGCCAGAGAGAGAGAGATATGAAGAGATGCTTGAAGAGAAAAGAGAAAGGAAAAGGAGAGGAGAGAGAGAAGTTTTTAGAGAGTTGGGAAAGGACTTTTTCACCACCCTTTGGATCCTGGGATGAGTCTGTCCTTGAGGAGTCTGTTGGCATGTTGGGAGTCCTCAGGTGCTGGGCGCATGGCTTCTCTTTGTTTATTCACCTTTCATAGCCCAAAGTTCTCGGGTCTCCATCTAACTCTCCAATGAGCATGGGAAGCGCTGGGCCTTAATGAGCACTGGAAGTGGAGAGGGGTGTTTCCTTAATAAATGAGAGGGGGAAGGGTGGCATGAAACCTTTCAAGCTACTGGGTGGGTGGTGGTGCAGCCTCTAGGTTGGCTTAACTTTGGCTGAATTTTCTTTGTTGGTGCCTTGGAGCTGGGGGTGCTGACCTTGTCAAGAGAAAGTTTGTCCTTGGTTAGTGAGGGGAGTAAAGCCTTTGGTGCGTTCTTGGCTTCTTCTGATCATAAAGGAACAGGATTCTTGCCTGATCAGGTTCTAGACTATGTACTAGAGCATGTTCTAGCTCACTTGAAAGTTCTAGATCAAGCTCTATATAGAGTTTTATGGTTCTAGACTATGTTCTAGC